AGAGCTCTCCCTCTATAAATCACATGCACTTAAATCCTTTTCCCAGGCTCTGCTTCTAGGAAACCCAGCCTAAGACAGGTAGTATTAGGAGCAAAGAGTCCTGTCACTTTATCTGGCTTAGATGGCAACTCAGCATAATAATTGATATCCATAATGCTGGCTCGAAGTTAAAAAAATTTAAAAAAATATTAAAACCTACTCTGCTGAAGAAGCCAGGCTCAGATGGGATATATTTTAACTGTATGTGTATGGAAGGTAGAAGCACAATATATGAATGTTTTACAAAGAAACTGCATTATATTCTATATTTTCAGAGTGACCTTCTGTTTGGTTCAGCAGGCCCTTTGCCCTTCCCCTGCTATTTCTTGTTCAAGCCCCAATTCAGATGTCACCTTCCTGTACACTCCTTCTTCCCCAGATAAAGTCTAGGCTCCCTTCTTTGTGCTCATTGTACCCTCTATTACTAATGGAGCACTTGTATCATAGTATTATATAGTTAGTGGCTTGTCGTCTGTGTCCCCTGGGTCTCTTGGCCAGCTGCCAACTGGAAGTGAGTGGTTCCTGGCTAACTGATTAGATTCTTTCCAGTCCTTATAAAGTGTCTGGGAAGAGAGTCCCAAGTTCTCCCTAGAGTGCTGTGCTGGTCCCATCTTCTCCAGACTGCCCTAATCCTAGAACCAAGGCTTTAAAATAAATGAGTGGAGCCAGTTCTAAAAGTCATTTGGGGTAAGGGCAGCTAGCTAGTCAATAAGATAACCCCATCTGTCCCTATCCCACCCTTCCCCTGCTCCCCAGAGCACTGGAGCTCACAGTCCAGTGGAAGAGAAAATACAGTAGGACTTAGCAGGTCATCCTTCACCTGTCATTTTAGACAGCTCCTCTAGTTCCCGTGCTGCAGACGGCCCTAGGGCGACTGTATGGATGATGACTCCACTTTGTTTCACTTCATTAAAGCATGAGCTTATAGTGCTGTCCTCCCCATCGGTCAGTAACACAATTTCAGATCCATCTGTTGGGTATTTCTTCCTAATCACCTAAGGACATAATCAGGCATGAGTTGTCATACTCAGGGTAGCCAAAGTGTTTGGGAAAACTGCAGTTAAAGGGAATGAGAAGAGAAATTCCAGAGGGGATAAACAAAAGTGTCTAGGAATGGTCAAATATCTCTCTGTCTTGCAATGATACAAGACCATGGAACTTGACAATGGTCTTTTCTCTTGGTTAGCCTGTTGCAGAGAAGACTCAATAAGGTGGGATGCAGGGCAGTTCCAGGGATGGACAGCACTAAGCAGAAAAGAAGGTTTTTCTAGTTTCTTTCACATGATCTCTCCTTGACAGGCTTTCAGAGGTTCCCAGATGCCTTCAGAAATTACCCTCATTTAATGGGGATAATACTGAGGACTAATATATTACTATAATAATATTAGACTCGGGGCAGATTTTAGCTTGTATGATATTCACCAGTCCTACCATAAGCTGTTTATGGCTGGCCTTGGTTCTGATTGGTCAGTCCCCAGGTCACATGAGTTATTAAAAATTTTAATATCCCCTCTGATTAAAGCAAAACATTTTGTTCCTATTAATCCCCAGTTCCTAGTTGTCCTATGACACGTATGTCTCAACTGTTCCTGGGAGACACAGGTTATAGCTTTTTACGTGGTATAGAGAGCATATGCCTTATGCCAATGTTGGATAAGACTATGATAGAAGGAAAATTAGATAAAATAATAATGTTTATGAAGAGGAAGGCAAGAGTTCACTATTCCCTTAAAAAGAGTGGAAGGGAGACCCAGAAGTAGAGGAAACAAGTAATCAAACCTAAGTAACTCCTCTCTCTGGACCAGACTCTCAGGAAGGGAAGGCTCTCTTAAGTAGGTTGAAAGGGAAGATGAGATCAGAGGAGACTTCCACCCCACTTCTTTTAAGAGGGGGCTGCCCCACAAGGGAAGAGAGCAGAACTGTGATTGCTGCCATGTGAAGAATTCTGGAGCCCAGGAGCCTGTCAGCTGTGGCTGTAGCCTCAGTCTGACCAAGCTGCAGGGCCTGAGAGGCCAGAGAAAGGGCTCAATTTGGATTCCCTTGTCCCATTCCCCATCACTGCTATGTGTCATGGAAAACATGCAGAAGTCTCCATGTATCCATAGGGGAAATGGATGGCAGCTGACTTGAGAGTTGGCAGGCAAGAAGACAGTTTATCTTGCCATAGAGGCTGAGGGGTGTACAGCCTCCCAAGGGCTGGATGCAGGACATGGGGGTGCTCAGGGATCTGCTCCAACAGTGAGAGCCAGAGTGTGGTGAGTCAGCTGGGGAAGACCAATGGGCCGTGATCAAGCTAAGAAAACAAGCAAAGCCCAGTGGCCACAGCTCAACTGATACCACTGCCAGACCTGACCAGGGTCCTGCCCCAGGGACTGGTGGGGAAATTGAGACAGTGCAGGATCCAAGGCCCTTTACCTCGTCACCCTGAAGCCACACACAATCTCCTCCCACCCCATACCCGGGCTCTGCTGGGCATGAGGAGCATCTAAATTCCAATTGTGTTCCTCACATACTCTCTCACACCATCGGAGTGGAAAATACAGAACCAGAAGTTCCCTCTTCACCACCAGGCCATCTGGCATTAGTCATTTCCCCTCAGGTTTTGTATAGCAGGAGTTTAGTACAACATGTCAGTTTCCCTCCCTTACTTGCTCCTTTAATCAAAGCATGGGTGAGTGGCAGAAGCAAGAGAACCCAAGTGCACACAGGCGTCTGGATAAGGGTTTTGCAGCTGGCTGCGTACACAATAAAAACCACTTCTAGGGAACTGACCTTCAAAGTGGAATAAAAGGGCCAGAAGGGACAGACTGCGTAAGGGAATGGTTGAGTCCACTGTCAACATGAAACAGTGTGAGCTGAAAACTAAATGTTCCTGCTGCTGCTTGGAAATCGGGAACAGCCCCATTGATGTGTTATGCCCCAAGCAGACAGAGGGCAGAGTTTCCCAAGACACTGCCTAGGTTCTGAGACCTTAGACCAGCCAGCTTCCTTCAGCCTCTTATTCTTTATTTCATGGACCTAAATAGCCTCTAAATAAATATAGAATATTCTATTCTATATTTGGAGCATTTAAGCATCAGGTGTAATCAAATAACTCAATTTAATTTGTTTTATTGAGAACCTCCTATAGAAAAGATATTGTGCCAGCAGCCTGGGAAGTTAAAAGATAATTCCTATCTCTGAAGAAGTTTTGTTTGAGCAAAGAACATGACAGGAAATAAGACAGAAGAGTCAAAAGTCGTAAGAGATGTTTAAGAAAAAATAGAAAAATGTTCATAGGATTCAGAAGGAGAAACTCTATACAGTTGAAACGATCAGGAAAGATGTCAAGTAGTGTCTATGATGATGTGTGAAGAATGAGTGTGATTTGAGGTACAAAGGAGGGAGGAGAAATTACTCTAGATGGGGAGCTGGCCCGGCAAAGGTGTGGAAGCTGGCTGGCAAGGGCAGGGGATCTAATTTGCTTAAACATAGAATACCTGGGAGAGACTCCTGAGTACTTGAGCCTGGAAAGGTAGGTAGGGGCTATATTATAAAATAACTTAAATATTAGTTAGAGAAATTTTACTTAGTTTTGTTGAAAATGGGGAGAGATTGATGTCTAAGTAGAGGGATGACATGATTGGATGATCAGATGGGATCTTTGGATACACCCCCAATACAATTAGAGTTACAGTTCCTAAGCCCTCCTATTTCAATAAATAAACCTTTTTTTTTTTCCCAAAAAGGAGGTCCTATATACCCAGACGTTTGGAATGTTAATCTACCTCAATATTTAACCATAACTCAGAGTTCACTTTTTTCTTCATAGAAGATAACCTCTTAGATCCCTGTGTACCTTTCTTCATAGCAGTCATTAGTGTATGATTATACACTTATTTATGTGACTATGTAGTTAATGAATCTCCCCCCACTAAGATTATAAGCTCCACGACAACAGGTGTGGTATGTTTGGCCCTCGTGGTATTCTTAATGCATATCACAGTGCCCGACATGTAGAAGTAACACCACGAATCTTTCAAATGCATGCAGAAAAGCATGAATGCACAGATGCAGAAAAACACAAAAGCATGAATGAATTAGTTAACCATAGCTTTGGGGGCCTATGTTGTTGCACCATTTGAACCATTGCTCTGCAATTGGTTGTCTAATTCAACTAGACACTAGGCATGCATGGAAACACTGGAAAGGGGAATTTCTTAGGAGACATAAATTGTAAACATTGGCAAACTATGATAGGGCAACTTGTCTCACAGTAAATGCTGATAGAATCCCAGAGCAGATGGACGTTCCTCCTGATGCCGCTGTGGGTAAGCTTCTGGTAAGTGTGTCTCTTTCAGTGGCACTGTTTATCTGTACAAGTTCACTTTTTACGTAGGCAGCACTGTCAAATGTCACCATCCCAACCCAGGACCCTTGCTCAACCGTCTGCAGAAGGAAAAGTTTGCCTGCTTGATTCAGTCGTTTAAGGCGGTCACCAACCTGAATGGAGAAGCAGAAGAAAAGCAGTCAGGTTGGGTTTAGATGGGCAGACTAAAAACAGAACAGGCTAGAGGGAATTTGGAAATGGCTGCCTCAATGTAGAGTAAATGACAATAAGCTTACTCAAGGCATATCCTTCTATGGAGGAACATTTCTCCTTTATATTTAGTAGTATCTTTGGATAGGATTATTTTGTATAAATAGCCCTAAAAGATAAAGCCGGATTTGGCTTTAGTTCAATCATTAGTTAAATACTCTAGTAATAGTTCTATAAACATACATACAGTCAGTGAAACATAAAAAATGTTAATTCTATATAATTCATCAGATCTTTGCTCACAAATTGAAGGCTAATTTAATTTGGCAAATGAGACACTTGATGCTGAACTTTTGTTGAATAAAGTTGAGGTGGTGGGCAATTCTGATGGAAATGTTATTCCTGTAACTGTTCTGACCCTTGAGGTTGTGTTTATTCCCAGCCAGCTCCAAGTTGTGGTCCAGATCATATCATATACAAATGTGAGACTACCATCCAGAAGACCAAGACTCAATCAACGTACCGTCATGCTTCCAGACTTATCAAGGACTAAACACACAATTCTTTGTCCGATCTGCAACAATGAGAAGGTGGGCTTGGGTGGCTGTGTTGTCATAGGAGTGGTTTTCTTAAAGTCCTCCGAACCTTGGATCACTTCCCATGTGCTTCGGAGATTGCATTTTTTGTTTTGCTGGTTTGGGGCTTCTTTATTGTGGTTTTTTTCTGTACAGAATTCAACCACCTGAAATTGTCAATAAAATGATATAGATAACAGTAAACTACTTGTTAAAATCTTTAATAATTTGATTAAAATATTTTAAATGCAGATTTACATTTATGTGCCCTCCTCCCCAGACTGCCTTGTAACCCCATAACCTTGGCTCAATCCCACAACTGCAGAGCACTGCTGGGGAAAATCATAGAGATAATTCAGAGTTTCTATCTCAAAACAAGTCTTTGACCTCAGTGGACTTTTAGTGCTCCTCAGCAATCATCTATTTGCCTGCTGTTGGCTTCCCTCCTACTTCTCAAATTTGCCATTTCAAGCAATTGCCACTATCTTTAAGCCACCTACATCTCAACATTTCTCTCCTGGTACCATTTTCTCTCTCCATCCTTTTACTTCCTGCTCACTTCCTTACTTCCCACTGACTTACAAACACCTTGCGTTCTAACTTTCAACACCCAACATTCCAGCTCTCTCCAAAATCCACTTGGATGTCCCATAGGATCCTTAAACTTCAGGTTTTCATAATTGAACTCATCACCTTTCCTCTGACTCTGCTCCTCCCCATCACCAAGTATTTCCTAACTTGGTGTCACCGCTATCTATTCAGTCACCTAAATAGGAAACTGAGAGTTTTCCTACCTTCTTCCCTCTATGAAATAAGATCAATACAATTCTCTCTCTCTCTCCAGTTCATCATCTTTTCTCCTTTACCAATGGAATCTCCATCATTCAAGCCCTCATCGTCCCTCCCTCAGACTATCTGACCTTTCCATCTTGCTCCCTCTTTAATTGGTCCACTCCACAGCTGCCAGGTACGTATTCCTTCTTATTCCTGTACTTAAGGTCCTTCTGTGGCTCATCATTGCTCACACACTACAATCCAGACTACTTCACATAGCTAATAGCAATCTCCATGATTTGGATTTTCACTTCACTCACGATCTTTGCTCTGGCCATGCATTCCAAGTCTCTAATTTCCCCCACTGTAGCCTATAAGTGCTCAAACTTGCCAGACTGTTTTATATCTCTGTGCTCATGATTCCCACTTTGTCAAGGAGTTCTTCCTCTGTCTTCTGCATTGTGAACTCTACCTTCATGTTTCAGCCAAAAGGTTATTTTCAAAATGTTCTCCCATTTCATACCCTTCCCCTAAAGAATTTCCACTTAACCTTGTGGCCTCACAGTACCCTATAAGAAATTTCAATAAGGCTCCTTTAACATTGTAGTGCACTTATTGGGATGAAAATCCATCTATGACAGAACCCTGTCTCATTAAATTTGCTTCCTCAAAACTTAGCCCTATGTCTGATACACAAAAAAAGCTCAATATGTTTGTTGTTTTTTTAGTAACCTTTACCAATCTGTATGTCAGTGTTTTTTAAATCTAGAAAATGGCAGTAGTTGTTATGCAAGAATTATATGAGAACATATGCAATAAGGATAATACTAACTAAATGATAGTGTCTTCCCCTTTTTTAAGTTTATATCCCTAGCATTTGGGAGATTTAAAAAAGAGGCACAGTATACAAAGAAGGTATAACCTAGTTCCTCCGCTCAGTGATTTTACAGTATTATCATTCAATTAAAAATCCTAAATATATGGGAGTCAAGTAATTCAGAAAGTAATCATTAGCTGTAAAACACTTATTTTTCTCTTTATTTGCATTTTTCAGATTGTTTTGGTAGTGTTTCCGTATTATCATTATAGCTACTTTTTAGGAAGGGAACCTGGAAAACTTTTGTGTAAACCCCGAGCAGAGGCTCCCAAACCTGACTGTGCATCAAATTTAACTGTGGTTAATTTAAAACAATCTCAGAGAGACCTTCAAGATGGCGGAGGATTACGACGTGGAGATCACCTTCCTCCCCACAAATACATCAGAAATACATCTACATGTGGAACAACTCCTACAGAACACCTACTGAACGCTGGCAGAAGACAGACTTCCCAAAAGGCAAGAAACTCCTCACGTACCTGGGTAGGGCAAAACAAACGAACAAAAAACCCAGAGATAACAGAATAGGGACAGGACCTACACCTCCGGGAGGGAGCTGTGAAGGAGGAAAATTTTCCACACACCAGGAAGCCCCCTAGCGGGCGGAGACTGCGGGTGGCGGAGGGGGGGAGCTTCAGTGCTACGGAGGAGAGCGCAGCAACAGGGGTGCGGAGGGTAAAGCACAGAGGATCGGTGTCGACCAGCACTCACCAGGCCGAGAGGCTTGTCTGCTCACCCGCCGGGGCAGGTGAGGGCTGGGAGCTGAGGCTCCAGCTTCAGCTAACCAGGAAAACTTTGGACCTGCCTAAGAGGCAAGAGACCATTGTTTCAGGGTGTGCAAAGAGAGGGGATTCAGAGCACCGCCTAAACGAGCTCCAGAGACGGGCGCAAGCCACGGATATCAGCGCGGACCCCAGAGACGGACATGAAATGCTAAGGCTGCTGCTACAGACATCAAGAAGCCTGTGTGCAAGCACAGGTCACTATCCACACCTCCCCTCCCGGGAGGCTGTGCAGCCTACCACTGCCAGGGTCCTATGATCCAGGGACAACTTCCCCAGGAGAACACATGGCGTGCCTCAGGCTGTTGCAACATCATGCTGGCCTCTGCCGCAGCAGTCTTGCACCGTATTCCGTACCCCTCCCCCCTACCCCCGCCTGAGTGAGCCAGAGCCCCCTAATCAGCCACTACTTTAACCCTCTCCTGTCCAGGCAAAGAACAGATGTCCTCCAGCGACCTATACACAGAGGCAGGGCCAAAACCAAAGCTGAACCCCAGGAGCTCTGCGAACAAAGAAGAGAAAGGGAAAATTACCCCAGCAGCCTCAGGAGCAGCAGATTAAATCTCCACAATCAACTTGATGTACCCTGCATCTCTGGAATACCTGAATAGACAACAAATCATTCCAAAATTGAGGCAGTGGACTTTGGGAGCAACTGTAGACTTGGGGTTTGCTTCTGCATCTAATTTGTTTCTGGTTTTATGTTTATCTTAGTTTAGTATTTATAGTTTATTATCATTGGTAGGTTTGTTTGATTTGGTTGCTCTCTTCCTTTTTTTTAAATATATATAGATATTTTCTTTTTCTCTTTTGCTGAGTGTGTATGTGTATGCTTCTTTCTGTGATTTTGTCTGTATAGCTTTGCTTTTACCATTTGTTCTAGGGTTCTCTCTGTCTATTTTTTGTTTGTTTGTTTTTGTATAGTTTTTAGCACTTGTCATTGATGGATTTGTTTTTTGGTTTGGTGGCTCTCTTCTTTCATTCTTTTTTTACACTTTTTAATTTCTTTATTTTTCATAATTTTTTATTTTAATAACTTTATTTTACTTATTTCTCTTTTTTTCTTTCTTTCTTTCTTTTTTTTCTCCCTTTTCTTCTGAGCCATGTGGCTCACAGGGGCTTGGTGCTCTGGCTGGGTGTCAGGCATGTGTCTGTGAGGTGGCAGAGCAGAATTCAGAACATTTGTCCACCAGAGACCTCCTGGCTCCACGTGACATCAAACTGTGAAAGCACTCCCAGAGATCTCCGTCTCAATGCTAAGACCCAGCTCCACTCAACGACCAGCAAACTGCAGTGCTGGACACCCTATGCCAAACAACTAGCAAGACAGGAACACACCCCCACCCATTAGCAGACAGGCTGCCTAAAATAATAATAAGGTCACAGACACCCCAAAACACACCACAGGATGTGGTCCGACCCACCAGCAAGACAAGATCCAGCCTCATCCACCAGAACACAGGCACTAGTCCCCTCCACCAGGAAGCGTATACAGCCCACTGAACCAACCTTAGCCACTGGGGGGCAAACACGAAAAACACCAGGAACTACGAACCTACAGACTGAAAAAAGGAGAACCCAAACACAGTAAGTTAAGCAAAATGAGAAGACAGAAAAACACACAGCAGATGAAGGAGCAAGGTAAAAATTCATGAGACCAAACAAATGAAGAGGAAATAGGCAGTCTACCTGAAAAAGAATTCAGAGTAATGATAGTAAAGATGATCCAAAATCTTGGAAATAGAATGGAGAAAATACAAGAAACATTTAACAAGGACCTAGAAGAACTAAACAGCAAACAAACAATGATGAACAACACAATAAATGAAATTAAAAATTCTCTAGAAGGAATCAATAGCAGAATAACTGAGACAGAGGAACAGATAAGTGACCTGGAAGATAAAATAGAATAAAGAAAGAACAGAGCAGAAAAAAGAAAAAAGACAGGTATATGTAAAAGAATGAAATTAGAACACTCCCTGACACCATACACAAAAATAAACTCAAAATGTATTAAAGACCTAAATGTAAGGCCAGAAACTATAAAACTCTTAGAGAAAACATAGGCAGGACACTCTATGACATAAATCACAGCAAGATCCTTTTTGACCCACCTCCTAGAGTAATGGAAATAAAAACAAAAATAAACAAATGGGACCTAATGAAACTTCAAAGCTTTTGCACAGCAAAGGAAACCATAAACAAGATGAAAAGACAACCCTCAGAATGGGAGAAAATATTTGCAAATGAAGCAACTGACAAAGGATTAATCTCCAAAATTTACAAGCAGCTCATGCATGCAGCTCAAAATCAAAAAACGAAACAATCCAATCCAAAACTGGGCAGAAGACCTAAATAAACATTTCTCCAAAGAAGATATACAGATTTCCAACAAACACATGAAAGAACGCTCAACATCACTAATTATTAGAGAAATGCAAATCAAAACTACAATGAGGTTATCACCTCACACCAGTCAGAATGGCCATCATCAAAAAATCTACAAATAATAAATGCTGGAGAGGGTGTGGAGAAAAGGGAACCCTCTTGCACTGTTGGTGGGAATGTAAATTGATACAGCCACTATGAAGAACAGTATGGAGGTTCCTTAAAAATCTAAAAAATGAACTACCATACGACCCAGCAATCCCACTATTGGGCATATACCCTGAGAAAACTGTAATTCAAAAAGAGTCATGTACCACAATGTTCACTGAAGCTCTATTTACAATAGCCAGGACATGGAAGCAACCTAAGTGTCCGTCGACAGATGAATGGATAAAGAACATGTGGCACATATATACAATGGAATATTACTCAGCCATAAAAAGAACCGAAATTGAGTTATTTGTAGTGAGGTGGATGGACCTAGAGACTATCATACAGAGTGAAGTAAGTCAGAAAGAGAAAAACAAATACTGTATGCTAACACACATATATGGAATCTAAAGGGGAAAAAATGGTTCTGAAGAACCTAGGGGCAGGACAGGAATAAAGATGCATGTGTAGAGAATGGACTTGAGGACACGGGGAGGGGAAAAGGTAAGTTGGGATGAAATGGGAGAGTGGCATGGACATATATATACTACCAAATCTAAAATAAATAGCTATGGGAAGCAGCCGCATAGCATAGCGAGATCAGCTTGGTGCTTTGTGACCACCTAGAGGGGTGGGATAGGGAGGGTGGGAGGGAGATGTAAGAGGGCGGAGATATGGGGATATATGTATATGTATAGTTGACTCACTTTTCACTTTGTTATAAAGCAGAAACTAACACACCACTGTAAAGCAATTATACTCCAATAAAGATGTTAAAAAATAAATCTGGTCCCCCTCTTGGAAGTTTCTGAATTATCCTGGAAATAGACTTCAAAGCCAGACTGAAGGATGGCCCTAGTGAACCATGATGTATCATATTTTTTAAACTTATGCTATATTGTTATAGACAGACTCTTGCAAGTTACTTCACTCTTACTCCGAAAGGAAAACATAATTTTATGAAAGAGACTGGAAGATAAGAGGTGCTCCCCACTAAAATAATTTAACTGATGCATTTATCTTAGTTTGTGCAAGTTTGTTGATATATACGTTTGACATTAATAAAGGTAATTTGTCAAGTTTATTTTATAACCAGTTGGTCATTTAAAAAATCATTGAGAAATGCAGTCTCCAACTTACAATGGTTCAACTTATGATTTTTTGACTTTATTGTGGTGCAAAAGCAATACACATTCAATAGAAACCATACCTCGAATTTTGAATTTTGATCTTTTCCTGGGCTAGTGGTATGCAGTATGATACTCTTTGGTGATGCTGGCTATCGGCAACGAGCCGAACATAGCTTCTAGTCAACCACAGGACCATGAGGGTAAATAACCAATATACTCACAACCATTCTGTTTTTCACTTCTGTACAGTATTTAATAAATTACATGACATATTCAACACTTTATTATACAATAGACTCTGTGTTAGATGATTTTGCCCAGCTAAAAACTAATGTAAGTGTTCTGAGCACGTGTAAGGCAGGCTAGGCTAAGCTATGATGTTCCATAGGTGAGGTATAGTAAATGAATTTTCAACTTGAGATATTTTCAACTTACAATGGGCTGGAGGAAGATCTGTATTTTAAAACTACTTAAAGCTATTAAAACTATGTACAAATTCCTTAAAGGCACCAACACTCTTATAAAGATAGAAAATTTTAGTTAACAACCAAAAGCAAATATGCAGGCCGAAAAGAGATCTCTGAAAGTTAAATTAAAGGCTACTGATCATGTTCTTATTACCAATAAAAAGAAGTGCCTGTTCCCCCTGGATAAATTTCTTGTTTAACTAATTCTTGTGCTTGTCTGCCTTTAAGGATATTTGAAGTAGTTCTAAGCCCTTAAACTAAAAGCTAGTGGGAGGGAGATGATGGAGGAGCAAAAAATGGACCTAAGGAAGGGGTCTGAGGAAGATAGGACTTTATCCCTGATTTTGTTCTCCCGGCTTGCCCCACAGAGATCAGCTGCTCACTGATGACTTCCTAACATTTGACCTTTTCTTGCAGCATCTGGGATAAAAACCTCACTAAATTCATAAGTGTCAAGAAAAAAAGAAAAACAAAAGGAACAAGGCACTTACAGAAGGAATACTTTGTGAATACATTATGGAAGCCTTCTCAGTCTGAACTTCATTAGGTATGAACTCACATCCTTTTTCGTACAGTCCTGTTACTCTGTCGGATTTGCATGATTGGGTGACACAGCTTCCTCCTTGACACTTCCGTAGTACATTTTTACCAGTAATAGTTGACGGACATCTGAAAATATATTAAGGTTAGATGTTTAGGTGTAGGTGATATAATTTAGAAGTGTTGGACTCTGTGGTCAGGTTCTACAGATGGCTTTGCCTACGATTTCCTTTCATAATTCAAGAAATAAATACATCCCCTTAAATAGCAAAATTATTAAATTCTCATTAGAGTAATTTCTGTTTGCCAGAAAGTATCTGAGGGGTTCCCAAAATGATATCAGAATGTGTTTCTATGCAGCAGAAAAGCTAAGGCTGGCTTACAGCTACTGTTAACAATTAATAAAGACCAAAGTCCTAAGGCACTTCCTAATCTAGTCCCTTTGTCCCTGGAAAATCAGGAGCCCTCTTTTGTTTACCTTAAAAATTTTGCTGACATTTTTTGTTTGTTTGTTTTTATCTAACTAGTTTACGTCATACAGTTTTTGCATAGTTCTTGTGTGTTCATAGGTATATTAGATTTTTCTTTACACACTTATGACTTTTGTCACTATTATAAATGGAGTACTTTTCACCCACATCTTATTTTATGAGTATATAAATATTATATGAACACTATAGGAAATTTGGAAAATAGCAAAAAAGTATAAAGAAGAAAAAAAATCATGTCCCACTGTCAGAGATAAACTACCGCTAGCATATTGAAGCATTTCCTTCTCTATGTATAAGCATAACATTCTACGTATAGCTTTGCTTCTTGATCTTAAAAAACTTAGTATTTTAGTACATTTAAATTGTGTTGTTATAATTCACATTATTCTTTCAAAATGTGATTTTAATAATTTCATATTTTGATACTACAACATGAATTTAGCCTAATTTACTTCATTTTGTTCCCCCCCAAAAAATTTTTCAGTGCTAAAAGTAAAACTTCCATGAATAAATAAAATGTCACATAAAATTTTGACTCTGTTTCCAAGTTTGCTGCATGACTGACTCCCAGAATAAATGCTCAGACCCAGAAGTTTGAACATTTTAAAGCCTGTTGATAGAGCTCATTCTATCATTTCCTTTAAAATGGATTGTTAAACATGAAATTACTGGAGCAAGAAATAGAAAAAACTTTTAGAGATTTGATATGTGTCACCAAATTGCTTTCCAGAAAAGTTATGCTGGTTTATTCCTCTAATAACCATCTATGGGAGCACTCATCCCACTGACAGTCACTTACTAGGCAATAAACGATTCTCATCTTTGTCAAATTTGCGCCTCTTTGATTACTAGTAAGTCTGAACAGTTTTACATTTTTACTGGCCATTTTTATTTCTTCCTTTGTAAATTATTCTTCTCCTGTGTCTATTTTTCTATTAGGGTGTTATTGTTTTCCTACTGGTTTTCAAAAGTTCTTTATGTGTTATAATACTAAGTTTTTAAAAGCCTGTTTTTTAAAATTTTTGCAAATATATTTTTCTGTTTCTTATTTTTTAATTTAGTTTATGTTTGACTTATATGCAACAAAATTTTTAATTTATATGTAGCCAAATTTATTATTCTTTTAGTTATGTCTTTTTCCAATTCTTGAATGTTTAGAAAGACCTTCACCATAGAGAAGTTTGATATGTATTAATGTTCTTCTAGTTTTCATTATGGTTTTATTTTTTATATTTAATGAGTCTATCCAATTGAAAGAGAGTCTGTTAATTTTTTCCCCCCACGTAGTTAAAAATTGTCCTGACATCTTAAGAAATATTGTCTTTCCTTGTAGATTTATAATTCTAGCTGTATTAAATAGTAAATTATTGTGTAAGTGTCTGTCAGTTCACATTGTTTTAATTAATTTAGCTTTATTGTATATTTAAAATTCAATGAGAAAAATTTCCTTTATACCTATTCTTTTTCGAAAATGTTCTCAGGTACTATCTACTGAATAAACTCTGGGACTTTAAAATGAGGTAAAAATAGAAGTACTTTTGATTAGAGTTTTATAAAACCTATATATTAATTGGGGTTGGATTTACGTATTCCATGAATTGAAAATCTCTCAATTAATCTTGATTTTCTTTTAAATTCTTTAGAAGGATTTTATGCTATGGTTTTCTTCAAATATAACTTTCACATTTCTTAGTTTTCTTCAAATATCTCTGGTTACCTTATTGACTTCCCTTATCAATTTTAATTTCTATTTTTTCCCTGAGGCTTTCTAAGTAGACCACATGTCGTCTGCCTAGAAGCAATTTTCTCTCTCCCTTTCTAGTAGCCCCCCCTCTTTTAACCTCCCCAACATGTTATTGCATTGGCTACAACTTTCTAAACAAGATTAGATAACTGCTAACAGTGCCCACTCCTATCTCATTCCTGGGAATGTCTAGTGATTCCCTATTAAATATGAGGTAGGCAGTTGGCTTTCAATTGATGTTCTGCATCATATTAGGAAGCCTTCTATTGTAGGCAGTACTGTCATTTTTGTAATTGTTTCCAGGCCTTAAAAGTAATAAAAAAAATTGGTAGATAAGCAATAAATGCTATTTGTATGTTATAATAAGATTTATTGTTAAGAGGACATGGTAATCATGTCAGTTTTGCAAATGTTATCTGTGCAAGGATGAACATGCTGTATATGTGGATATTTCTGGAATATCCCTAGGAAGGAATAGGTACTAGTCAGCTTTGCTCTCAAGGGGATATACAGTGTCTGTCTGGAAGCTTAGCAAGAAGTGGGAAAGGCAGATGTCAGGGCTGAATGGCATCCGTGGGCTGAGATTTGAGAGGTCCATCCAACATATGATCACGTCAGGGGAGTGGCCCTGGGGAGTGGTCTCTGAGGTGCGGAGGGAACAAGCCAATCAGATAGACTGTGTACGGCTCTGGGAGGCACTTAGTGTCTTTTTATACCTAAAGTGACATAAGAGTGAGGGAAAATGTCATGGTAGTGGACAAAGCTGACAGAGTTTGAATGTAATAAAGAAAGGGGAAAATGGAGAGCAGTAATGCTCCTGTGGGAGAAAGGGGAAGCCAAGGCTGAGCTCTGAGCCCAGTGCAGCTTCCCTTGGAAACTGTGCTGAATAAAGACAGTAACCAAACCAAAGCTGAGCGCGTCTCCTTAAACAGCCATCAGGGGAGTCGAACTGGAAGCAAGAGTGAAGAGGCGTGTTGTGCCAGCTCTAGTCTTTAAAAAGAGGTGGTTGTTTTTAACTGAGGCATAAATGTGCAAGCTTATCAAATTCCTTTTCAGAATCTGTTGGACTAATCATTTAATTTTCTTCTTTTACTTGATATACAATATTAATTACTTACCTAATATCATAGCATTTTCAGACTTCTGGAAGACATCCTTCTTGAGCTTAGTGTGTTTGTTATTCCCTTAATTATGCCAGGTGTAACTTACTATCCTTTTATTTAAAACCTTTTTAGAAAGCTGTATCTACAGAATTCTTTTTCATGCCATCTGTCAGGTTTTAGTATCTGAATTATGCTAGCTCTCTAAAATAAATTGGGAAGTTCCCTTTTACATTTGTACTAAAGCAGTTTGTTCCCTGAAACTTTTGATTGCAAGAACTCACCTGTAAAATCACAGCAGCAGAGGTACTTTCTAAGTGTTCAATTTGCTTCCTATTGACACCATACAAGGTTTTATTCAAATTGGGAGAAGTTTTCTGTTTTGTTTTAATATTTGGACTGTCTTCCAGCCAAATTCCACAGTCTCTCACAGGCCCATTCAAACTGACATAGTTCACACAGATAGTATTCTACCCTCAAGGCACTGAAGCTTTGTTTATGTCACTGATTATGATACAGGAAGATGGAGATACTGAACGTAGCACCTGTGGATTTCTTCTAGTTGTACACACACACACAAAGAGGCAGATGATTTGTAGCTGCAGAGAATTCAACTAATTAAGACACTTGTAAAGTGAACAAAAGTAGTAGTTTTATGGAAATCTGAAAAAGACGGCACTAAGAGTGAGAGATAGAAAATAAGACAAAAGACTGACATTTTTAAAGTAATCAATTCAAGACAAAATTGTTTGCAATTTAAAATAGTTTGTGAAAAGTGAATCAAAATATACATACATTACTGGTTTTTTTCTTCTATTGGATAAGTAGAATTTCTGGTCATTATCGTACTCATTAAATACTCCCCATCGTAGATGAGCCCATTCATGGACAAATACCCTTCCTGTGAAAAAGTATTTTAAACACCTGATTTTAATAAGAATGGTAAAATTACCATCTTAAACTAAGAGAAAGTAATTCTTCTGAATGCTATTATGCTTTGCTATTTTTTTTTTTTGATTAAAGGTTCGATTTCCTTAGAAGGAACAATCTGATACGACAATTGCACATTTCTGTAAAATATGACTGTTTATTTTGGATTATCAAGTGTCAACTAGGCACCTAGTAAGTGCAAGGCAGCTATTCATACAATGATAAAACAATTGCCCTGTCCTCACATAGCTCATGGTCTAGCAGATGACACACATCATTTTAGATAACTATAATCCTTAGGGGTGCAAGTGTAATGATGGAGGTCAGCACAGGCTGACCTATAGGGCAGCCAGGGCAGCACCCCCAATAGGTCCTTCTCCCTAATGACTCATATGTGGACAAACCTCGAGCCCTGCCTACTCCACATCTGCCTTTTTCTTCTTTGACCTATTCTCGTCTTTCCAGTCTCATTGCCAGTTACTTGTGAACCACTGCAACACTCACTCAACTGGCCTCCATGTCTCCAGTCTTCAATGACTCCGCTATGGTGCTCAGGGTTAAGTCCAACTTTTCAATATGCGTACAAGGTCCCTGATGATTCAGGCCCTATTCCTCTCTGCAGCCATATTTCTTGCTCTTCTCCACCCACTTCCAAAACTCCATAATGACAATGGATTCTTGAACTCCTTTTACTTTCTAGAGCCGCATCGTGCTCTTGCTCATCTCTGGTCGTTTTTATATA